TGTTACAACTAATAGGGGATCCCTTTAAAAAATGGTAAATGGTCTGAACTTATAAAGCACTTAATCAAGTCCCTCTGGACCCCAAAGTGCTTTACACTACAGACATTCACCCATTCACACACACATTCACACACTGGTGATGGTAAGCTACATTGTAGCCACAGCTGCCCTGGGGCACACTGAGAGAGGCAGGGCTGCCATGCACCGGCGCTACCGGACCCTCTGACCACCATCAGTAGGCAAGGCGGGTGAAGTGTCTTGCCCAAGGACACAATGACTGAGACATCTGGAAAAGGGGGATCGAACTGAAGACCTTCCAGTCACAGGACGACTCCCCTAACCACTCCACCACAGCCGCCCCAAAATTACTTTCACTGACCTCACCCACCTCCCAGTCTTTGTTTTGCTGCATTTAGTTTCCATTACATTCTGCATCAATCAAATCCATTTTTCTGCCCTGTTTTAATTTATTTATTTTTAAACACAGTAGGGTGTGCTCATATTATTTCTATGGAACCCCACTTGAACAGATCTGACTAACTCTTTAAATACAACATGATGCAACATCTGCAACAGTCTGAACGGCTCCTCTGTGTTTTGAATGAACAGGGTAATGTGAATGTCAGACCCACTGAGCCTGCCTGACTGTATCACAGACCAGCTGATTACCTCACCAGCTCACGCCTCTCTCCAACTCAATTACAATTCATAAACTGCTCAGGGACTCCCTCTGCCCTCTGAATCATCTGACTGCTTGCATAAACATATAAGGGCACAATTTCCAGGAGGGATCCAGTTACTTATGTTTGAGCATTTTTAGTCTACCGCACACGTTGACCTTTGGGGTTATAACAAGACTCCAAATTCCAAAGCGCAGCAGCTGCGTAAAAAAGAAACACGTCTGTGTTGTGACAACCACAATTACCTTGATGAATCAGACTGTTTACAGATCATCTCAAAAAGGACCCTGCATGGCAGAGAGCAGCTGAAGCTGTTTTACAAATCCTGAGTGCTGGAACACTGTGGGATGTGTGACACATGAAGGAGAATCACAGCAGTATAAAAGTGTGTCCCGAGCTCTGCTCGTGAATCTGAAATATTTACCACAGGGGCAGAGAAGTGCGAAGAGATGAGTAAAATAAATAAATAAATAAATGGAGGGTCAGTTAGACTGCCAAATGTCAGAGGCAAAGAGCTTATCATCAAAGTAGAAAAGGGACAAAAATAAAGCAGGAGTCAGCATGAAAACTCAGAAATGAGACATTTGAGCCTGACATTTGCAGAATCTATTCAGTTAGCTGAAAGATGTCTGTGCTTTAGATGAAAATTTTAAAAATCAAGTATTTGTAACACAGTATGTCGTGGTCTGAGCTCACCTCCACAAACAGGAAGCAGGGAACGATGGAGCTGCTGTTCTTCACATTGGACTTTTCTTCCACTGCCATCCTTCTTTCTGGTACTTTGAAGCAGCCCAGATTCGTGTCTCCTTACCCTGAAAAAAGGAAAAAAGTTGAGTCAGATTAGTTTAACCTGAGGGGGTTTGGTAAAATGTGCACAGAACAAACTGTGTTCTTTATTTAGCACATTCGATTGTTCTTTCACGTGCAGAATCAATAAACATTCAATGTAAGAAATAAAAGTTAATTAATTCAATAGCATCATCAACATAATAACATTTTAAAAATAATCAAAAAACAGTAAAGTAGGTAAAAAATAAAACATAAAGA